TGGAGAAACTAAGGGAGATATCATCGGCCCTATTTATGGGATCGATGTAGGGGGACACATGAGGAAGGATGGGGTTTTCGATGGATATTATGCACTAATTTTTGGGAAGAAGGGCATCATTTGGAACACCTGACTCATTAGAAGGTTGAACTCCTCCGTTGACAGGTTCCTTGCCCCACCCAAGTACTAGGCTTGGAGGAGAGTGGTTTACCACAGTTGGTGACCAAAGCTTGCTAGGACATGGTTGAGCCCCGTAGTTATTGACGGGGCTAGAAAGAGAGGTCTTGGACATCGACACCGAGACTGAACCGATCTTCATGTTGAAGACCTAGCTTTGGCCCTGTATGGCCATCTCTAGCTACGATCCTAGTGAGCGATTTAGGGGAAAGGGAGCAGAGACCAGCGTCAGCATTGGGATGGGTTCGTCCTCCGTTTCCCCATGGTTGGATGGCTATTGTTGGGACATTATTGGGATCGATTTTGAGGACTATCATGGTGGAAAGTTGATTACCCAAAGTGGTAAAAACAGGGACAATTTGCTTGATTTCATTAGTGTTAATGGAGAACTTGAGATGTGTGGGTTTGCTTGATGAGACATCGGATGTCACTTCGCCTTCTACATAGTGATGATTACTTGTTGCAGATGGCGGATTTAGTAAAGATTTGGGGCTAATCTTAGAGATGGATTTGGGAGAGACAGTGGGAAAAGATGGACTAAGGAGGAGGGAGTAGGTGTTATGCGGGTGTACGCATGCGTGTCAGTGTGAGCATAATTTCGAGGTCCATCTTTGGGCCACATGTCCAGAATGGGTTCCATTTACGGATTTTGGGTTTGGGTAATGGGGGAATCATTCCTTGGTTGGGTAACATAAACTGTGGGCTGGGGATGTTTTAAAAGCAAGTTGGTTTGGGTCTGTGTCAGTGGACCTAGTGTATAGGTAGAAGGGGTGGGTGGATGAAGATTGCCAATCTTATTAGTTTGGGGATGTGACAGTGTGCTATTTGAAAAATTAGAGGGGGTGGGGGTATTCGAAGTGTCAACCTTGAGATTACTTGTTTGATTCTTTATCCCCTTGTCCGTAGAGTGGGTAGATTTCCCTTGGTAGTGAAATGTTTGAGTGTTTAGGAACTTACCTGTAGTAACATCGAATATTTTTACCTGGATCCCTTTAGCTTCTGAGGTTGATTCTTGACGTGTGGGGTTTTTAAGCTTTTGCTGCCATTTCCTGTTCTTGTGGAATCTTACAGCTTGCCACTTCTTTCGCTTGTTGCAGGGTGATTCAGTTGTGGATCAATCGATTAGTTGGTGATTGGGATTGTTTGGTAATTGCATCTGTTGTTGGTATGACCAATGTCCCCACATCCAATACATATAATACCTTCGCCCTCATAGATAATTGGTTGGGTGTGCAATCCAATTGTAACAGATTTTATGATCGAGGATTCCAAAGGGACTTGTATGCTCAACCTAGCATATCTGCCCCTTAAGGTTGAGGATGTGCAGGAGTCCAATTTGAGGAGCCCTCTGACTCTTGACCCTATTCTTTCTCAGATATCGTGTTCATAAAACTCTGTTGGTAGCTGAGGAAGACATATCCAAATAGATGTGGAGGCGAGGAGTGTTGCTCCAGGGATAAAGTTTGGTTCCCATCTTCGCACTGTTAGGAAATGCCCAAAAACGAACTATGGCACACCACGAAGAGCCTTGGTCATGCTCTCCTCCAAATTGAATTTGACAGTGAAAAAATCCCATCCTAGATCGATTAGGATGAGATTTTCCTCCGGCTTCCACAACTCATTTAGTTTAACTTTGAGTGTTAGATGTGAAATTCTTCTCGCAAATAGTTTCACAATGGCAGAGAAGCACCAAGAGTGGTACAATCTTACTTTGTCTTCTTGGGTTAGAGCAATGGGTTCAGGATTGAGGTGCGAAGGTTCCATAGCATTAGTTGGTGATGAGGTCAATTAGGTTCTCTTCGACACAATTTTCTCAAACAAGTTTAGAGATCTTATTATTATTATTATTATTATTATTATTATTATTATTATTATTATTATATGATTTACCTTTTATGTGCCTCTAGATTAGTAAATTTTACTCTAAAAATTTGAAAATTTCTGTCAAGTTTCAACCACGAAAATCAAATAAATTGGCACTTTTGTGCTCTAGAATCTACCACATTAAATGAAATGAAGGAACAATTCTATATTACCTTTTATTTAGTTTTTAATTGTAAAACTTTTATTTTAAGATCGAAAATTAATGTACGAATTAAAGACAAAAATATTACTCCTTTATTTTATTTTAACTGTCGTTTTAGTTCTTTTCACGCTCGTTAAAATAATAAATGTAAGATATTATCTACAGAATCAACATATAGGAATACTGTAATACATACGAAAAGAGATAAATCACAAATTCACACCAAAGAAGTAATATTATCTGCACCCAGGATTTGCATGTCCGTTGCTCACAATATTTGACGAGTGCGAAAGAGTCGAATTCATGATTTGAGCTTTATAAATTTAATTTTTAAAATTCTTAGTAGTAATTAAATTAATTGTATTTTTAAAAAATATTAAATTCAGATAAATCTGATGTCACAACACTGCACCCGCCTCGTAAAAAATATGACAAGACAACGGTGTGGAAGCTTTCAGCAAGGTCGAATACTGTAGAAATCCAAATTTGTCTGCACTCAAGAAACTTCATGCCAAAAGAAAGAAACAAATAAAATTCAACATTTCACACATACTTCAAATGCAAACCACACACTACCAGGGCTACACAAGAAGGTTAGGTGTGATTTGGTTTTCCTATTTCATTTTAAGGAAAAGGTAAAATATTTATTATAATTGGGTTTTTCTTTTAGTAGAAAGAAATTATAAATCTCTCATATTTTGCTAGTTTTTTTTCTTGTAGAAAAAGGTTTGGACTTTTATAAATTAATTGAGGATCATTCTTATTCAATAGCATCCACAATGTAGTCTTGTCTAGATGGGAGAACTTTTCGGGACAAAGTATTAGTGTGTCACTTGTGTTTACTTTTTTGTAATTGTTCTCTCGATATTTTGTACTCTCTTTTATATAGTGGATTACTCATCTATATCCATGGACGTGGGTCAATTGACCGAACCACGTGTTTGTGTCTCTTTTGATATATTTCTCTTTTATCTGATTTATCATCGTTCATGTTTTATTTTACTAACTTCCGCATAATACCTTATTATTTCGATCCTAAGACAACCTTAAACATTTGGAATTAACAATAAATCCTTTTTATAACACAACTTTTCATTGTTTATATTGTATATTTTTACCATTTTAGGATGAAAGTACGTCCATCGGTGGGACAATGTTAAGTTGCTAACCTATCCTTGGCTTCAACGTTACGAGTTACGATATTACATGAGAACGACTGCTTGGACTTTATATGAATCTACACTGAAATTTCTATATCAAAAGCTTCGAGTAGGAAAAGCATATCACTGAATATTGGATTATATACAATCTTGTAAAAATTATAATTAATCAATCGAGAGTCTCCTATACATTTAGAAGCTTTTTATTTATTGCTGAACGCTCAAGAAAAAGTAGAACCTTAGGGAGGTACTTTCGTTTTGCTTTACTATAGCAATTTTAGATGTGTCGGTTGCTCTCTTGTGAATGCTCGTCTAGCTCTCTCTCCTTGATCTTTTCTTTTTGTTTTAGCTGGATTTGGCCTTTTAGTCACCCCTTCGATCAAGTAGAACTTTCTATCCTACATTTTTTTCCCACGATACTAATAAAGATTAGGGGTGTACAAAGGAAATCGACAAACCGTACCAACCCAAAAATTCGAGTTAAATAGAGAGAAAAAATGACTATGGTTTGGTGTTGGAAAAAAAACCCCGACCATAAGTGGTTTGGTTTGGTTTGATTTTAACTAAAAAAAGTCAACCGAAACCAAATCAGCCCGACATTACATATATAGAAATTTTAGATATATTTAATATATAAATATACTTATTGTGATGTAATTTTTAAATATTTCTTAAACTTTTTCATAATTTTATCTTTTAAGATATTATTTCAAGGTTGGACTTAGAACTTTTGAATATTCCAATAAGTTTTATAGTCATTAATATTAGTAACTTAAATAATGCTAATAAAAGCCAAATCAAAATCAAATCAATATTAATGCTATCAAAAGCCATTCAATTCAATACTATGAACGACAATGTATTGAATATCTATTTTTTGTTTTGCAATAATTTAGATAAAAATGCATAACCTATTTTTATTTTTTCTTTAGTGTTTAGTCATGTAATTAATACTCCTTTATTAGTCTACTTATTTTAGCATGACTTAGTACTTTTAGATTATGTTTATTTTTATTATTTAATTAGCAATATTTATATTACATAATTTTATTATCTTTATTGTTGAATATCTTAGAATAATGCCATGATACATCTCATATTTTGTATTATTTTCTTGAAAAATACCTTATATAGTTGTAGCTTACTAGGATTAACGAAATATTTTGAGCACAAGTAATATATTTCGTTCTACGAAGATTTTACCGGGAAAAAACCCGAATAACCCGAAAACCCGAGATTGAAAAAATCAAGTTTTATTGATTTGGTTTGATCTTTAGATTTAATAACCCGACACAATTGGTTTAATTTGATAATTGTAAAATCCGAACCAACCCGACTTATATACACCCCTAATAATGATTACAATGGATATATATATATATATACCTGAATACAAAGTATAGTCCGTAAATACGGCTAATAACACTAATATCCACCGACGGGCATATAGTTGATATTTTCCACACAAAAAGTTTTCATTGTCTGTTGATGACAATATTTGACGAGTGTGAAATATGACAGGCAGCATGTGAAAGCTTGTGGCCAAGGTCCAATAATCCCACCCCCACCATACACCAAGTTTCGACTAGTTAGAATACGACAGGAAATCCAAATATGTTTATAATCAAGAAACTTCATACCAAATAAAGCAACAACATTTTCATACATAATAAAATTCAAATGCAAAATTAACAACAAACTCTATTTTACAATCACCACATACTTGACACTACTTACTATCAACTTTACAAAGTTCCAGAAAATAAAAAGACATTTTAGGAAATAAATACAACCTTAAAACATATGGAATTAACAGCAAAAACTCTCTTACAACAACACCACAGTTTTTGTCCTCTTGTTTTTTTTTTTTTTAACCATATATATATTTACTGCATGTTTATTTTCCAAAGATTGATTTAAGCCACCAAATTCCTTTGGTGTCCTGTGGGCTATCGTCACCCTCTGGTGGAGGATCAGACTGAGGTGTCTTGTGAAGTTTACTCACATCATAGCCTACTTCTTTAGCCTTCTCAATCAGCATGTTGTATATCTCTTCGTCAAGATGTGTTTTCCTACATAATATCTGCAAATCAAACAATATTTTGTTAAGCTCTAAAAACCTGACAAATAAAAATTATAATATCAGGGAACTAGTAGTCAATGAAGTAAAGAGAGAACCATAAGCTCAAGATCAAATATTAGCATGAGGTCAAATTCAAATTCTTAGTCGAAAACACTAGGTGATTCTTACTGCGAGGATGGGAGAGTCAGAGGCAGACTATAACAACCTATGTGTATAGTGAGGGGTCACCGAATCCCGTAAGCTTCAAAAAAAAATCTTTGTATATCTATATGTATATGCCTTGAAAATAGTTAATTTAAAGCATTTGGCATCCTGAATACTAAAAAACTTTTAGTGGTACTGATTGAGCATAATATTGTGTCCCGTTGCGTAAAAATCTGCCTCTCTATGCTGGTGAGAGATAGCTAATACCGATTGAATAGTCAAGGAGTTGAGGTGCACGCAAACTAATTCGAACACCACGATGTATATGTAGCTGGTCTTTTATTGAAAACTAAACCAATTTTTCAGCACATAGATGGACACTATGCTCAAGCAAACATGTAAAAGATATTAATAAAGAATAAACAAATTCCCAGATGAACAATCAATTCCTCAAAGCAGACACATTAAGTCATCTAATTATACTCGAAGCTCGTCCAAATTTTGGAGGAGGACCCTTGGCGCAACTGGTCAACTGGTAAAGTTATTGCCCGTCGAACCGTGAAAACAGTCTCTTACAGGAATACAGGTTAAGTCTGCATATAATATATAGACCATTGCCCTTATCCTTTCCCACATCCATAACAGAAGTTTAGTGCAGCCGCGCTGCCCTCATTCAAGATTCACATGAAAATGGCAAAACCCATGACTTTATAAAATGTCAAAAGAAAAGGGAACTTACCCAAAGATAATTCCTACTAGGCTGACCAATCAAAGCATATTGATAATCATTATCAATATAAAGAACCCAATAATCACCAACAATAGGAATAATTGGCAAAAATGGAGGAATATAAAACTTCACTTTAAGCTTAGCTTCATCACTTTTAGGATCAGCTTTATATGCAGTCCCTTCAATTGAACCTCTTTTTCCATCACTCCAAGTTTCATTTAACACATGAACTGTACCATCTGGATTTAAAGAGTAAGTGGCTCTTGTGTTTACACCATTTTTAGGCTGATTTCTTGATGGAAAACTAGCTATTTCATACCATCTTCCCATGTATCTTTCAACATCCAAATTCCTCACTACTTCCATTTCTTTTGTGGACATTTTTCAAGAAAATATTTTCAGATTTCAAGAAAATATTTTTTTTTTCTCAAGATTTTTGAAGGTTGGAGAAGGGGTTTTAGTAATTTTTATATAAGGGGTTTTGGATTGGGTTTTTGATAAGGTTTAGTGAGATTTGATGAGATATATAAAGGTGGTAGGGTGTAATGTGAAATTTGTGGATATAGACGTGGGGGCTTGAGCACCTTACAAGTGTAATAATGGATTTTAGAATACATATTTTTGGCTGATTGAATTGGTAATTTCTAGAATATTCGTATTTAATTTCTAATACAAGGGGCGGTTAAGTTGTTTGTTTTTGGAATTTTAAAATATTCTTTCGGATGAGGGGGTATTTGTGCAGTTCGGATTGAATATGAAAATTTTGATTTAGATATTTGGGTTTCGGATTAAATAAATGACAATTCAAATTCAATCCAAGAAAGCTCGGGTTGGGTAGGATTTTTTAAGTTCGGTTTTGGGTTTATCGGATTAGATATTTCGAATTTTCAGTTTTGAGTTTATAAGTTTAAATGTTTCTTTTTCTTAAAAAAAAAGGAACATCTAAATAAAGCAATCACGTTAAGTTACCTAAAAAGTTCCTCATTTTCAGTGCTTCATTTAAGAAAATACAACAAAGACATTAATAAGGCCGATAAGAAGTAGCAATAATAAAATTATGTCCAAATAGAAAGTATTCTGCAGTAACTTAATAATCAATACTGAATTTATGTGATAATATCTAATGGATAGGGTATTGGACTTATTACTATTGGCATATGGATAATGGACTAAATATAAAGTATAAATTTTTTGAATTTTCGGATATCCAAAATCTGAAGTACCAAATCCAATATCCAATCCAAGATCCAAATAAATTAAAAATTAAATTTGAAATCCAATCCGTAATCCGAAAATCCAAACCAAATATTCAAAATATTCGGATTTTAATTTCGATTTTGGGTTTGCCCAAACTATGCCCGCGCCTAGTTCGGATTACCCAACACGCACATGATTAATGATGTGCATAGTGTTCGGATCACCTTACATGCACATGATTAATTTTATAAGTAACCTATTATTTCTCACTAACATAAAATATGCACTCCCTCTGTTGACTTTTACTTGTCCATTATGGATTTTGCACACCCTTTAAGAAATAATAAATGAAACGAATAATTTACCATAATGCTCATATTAATTGATGCATATTTTTAATGGAATTGAGAAAATGATTTGAAACGAGTAATTAATATTGTGCGTATAACAAGAAAAAAAAATTATATTCTCTTGATATGCTAAAGATGACAAGTAAAAGTGAAAACCTATTTTTAAAATATTGAACAAGTAAAGTGAACGGAGGGAGTATATGATAACTTTATCTATTAAAGCTTGGACAAATAGAAAAAGATCACACCTATAGGTAACAAAAAAAGAATTGCAACAACAACAACATACCCAGTAAAATTTCACTAGTAGGGTATGGAGAGAGTAGAGTGTACGCAAATTTTACCTTTACCCCAAAAAGGATAAAGAGACTGTTTCCGGGAAACTAATTGCATATATACTTATTCTATTTAAAATTAATGCAAGTTAACATATAACGATAAGTTATTTATCAACATTATTTTTCTATGTTTTAATTAGTGCTTGCCGAAGAGTTATATGCATTTATTTTTAAAATGACTATAAATCTTTTCTACATAATAAGTGTATAAAATTTAATTGGGCATTTCATTCATTCAGTTAAGTAATTACCACATAACTAGAAAAGTTATATTTGAATGCAACGGATAGAAAATGATTATGGTGATAGTGATTAGTGAGTGTACTAATTAAGACGTTATGTTCTCTGTGTAGTTGGTAGCCACGTGACCCAAAATGGTAAGTGTATAATTTGTTATAGTAACCATATTTAAGATTTCACATATTCTGCTAATAAACTAACTGAAGTTTTTTTTTTCCACATTAATTCCTAGTTTTCAATTTCAAACTCTGTTTAGTTAATTTTTCTAAGAGGGTGTTTGGATTGGCCTTTAAGCTGGTCAAATCAACTTTTAAGAACTTTTTAATTTTTTTAGTATTTGACAATAATAAAAAGTGCTTAAAATAAGTCTAAAACGGCTTAAAATAAGCCAAAAGCAATAAGTTGGGCAACCCCAACTTATTATTTTTTGAATTAAAAGTGATTTTTGCTGAAAACCCACTCTTTTTAAGCCAATCCAAACGGGCTCTAAAATCAAAGACGAAACAAAATTTAAATTATTCTTAATTAACTTTAAAAGACAGTCTGGTACACTAAACTCCTGCTATGTGCAGGGTCCGGGAAAGGACCGGACCAATTCATTTTTCTATAGTAATTCTCTGCAACAATTTTTTTTTTTTTCATTTTTCCGTTTATCTCCCGTCAGACAATCGTTAAGGATGTAGCAAATTCATCAGTATTCACAAATTTGAAACAGAATGGATTAGAGCCATTCCAAAAGGTTTCACTCTAGGAAATAACAATGTAAGAGATTTCTTGATCAAAGTTTTGTTCTGATTTGGTTAAACTGTGGGAACAACAATTTGGAAGATATTGATCAGGCATCTCTTATTCTTCTACTTTGTGATGCAATCCATTTTAGCACTACACCGTGGAAAAACCACATGCTGAGTACACTGGAAAATTACATCCTAATAAATTTCACTGTATTTGTTTTGGACTCTTCTCTACCGTGACACAGTTACACTTGATCAATCTTTAGTTACTTGTGAGGCATTATCAAGATTCAGAAAGGGCATCAAAATTTGAGGACGAATATTGGACTAGAACAGCTCCGAATGAAGCGGAAATTGATAGTGAAAATTCATATAACCAACTACAACTACCTCAAGATTGCAGCTTAGTTGCGACATATGAAGAGAGGGGAACAAATTGGAGCGATGCAAAACATAAAAGAGAACCAGAAAGAAAAAAAAAACTGAAGATTGTCAAAGGAATTGAAAGTTGCACAGAAATGAGGCTCAGATATGTTTAAACTATCAGAGCAACGGCCAATTCACCATAGCTGCGAAGGTCAGAGCTTTTGTGAGATAGAAATAACACAATCTCACTAAAACTCTCAAGAACATCGCCAAGCCAAGATAAGAATCAGCTCAAATATCTGAGATTTGAAGCTTTCTGGATAAGACCATTACAAACTCATTCACTAGGTGTAGGGTTTGCGACGAGTTGCAAATAGTTGACTCCAACTATTTTGGTGCAAGGCATAGTTAATTGAGAGGGCTGTTGATTTTTATTTAAAAAAAAGAACTCACAGGCCATCAAACTTCAGTGGAACAAAGCAACCACCCATAGAAGCTCCTGCAATGTCTGAATCACAGAAAGCTTCATTCTTATAGCACAATCAAAGTATTGAGGTATGCTCAGATATGCCTTCTCTCAAACAAAAAATAAGGGGAAAAAAACAAAAGCTTTAAAAACTGGCATGGCAGCAAGCAACAGTGAGCCTCATCAGAGTTCAGACAGAAGAAAAACACCGACACGGAATTTTTCCCTCAATATCTCACAGACCCATATCAGAGCTGTCACGCCAAGATGCAGTTTTCAGCTTAACAGAAAAATGTCTGATTCATCTTCCACAGAAGACTAAAATCTTCACAGCTCTCTGTCTTCACCAAGCCTCAAACGTAAGCTAATGCTTTTCACAAAGCGTTGGAGAACTTCAAACTATTGAATATTGGAAAAAACGAGTCCAAATGGAGCGGAATGAATAGCAAGTATTCATATATATGACAGTAGCTTGTTTGAGATTTAAGTGTTGTTCTTGTTGTGAAGAGGGGGAAATGACAATGTTGGAGAAATGCAAACATAAAGAAAAAGGAGGGAAAAAAAGGCTATACTACTGTCGAAGAAATAGGCAGGTAGAAAGAAAGAAATGAGGCTCATATTTGCCTAAAACTATCAGAAAAGGGCTAATCTGCCATGGCTGCAAAGGCCAGAGCTTTTGCGAGACAGGAAATAAAACCAGCTCCCAAAACTTTCCCTGAACTTTGCCAAGCCAAGATACAAATCAGCTCAAATATCCGAGATTTCATGCTTACTGGATAAAATCATAACAGCCTCATTGATTAGGTTTAGGGTTTAGACAGGAATGGATTCATATAGCCAACCACAACAATTAGGGAATGAGCTATAGTTGATTGATTTATCATCATAATCATCATCATCATTGTCGAGATATAATATAATTATCAGAAGTGTACTCTCCATCTAACAGCTTAAAATATCAGATGAGATGGTCCATAATCATTAGCATTTTGCAGTGCAAGGCTGTAGATCACAAAAGAATTCATCGGCTATGAACTCATAGAGAAACAGAGCAACCACCCTTAGGAATTCATGCATTCTCAGAGTCACAAAACCCTCTTTTTTTAGAATAATCAAGGTAACGGGGTAGGCTCAGATTCACTTTTTTTCAAACAAAATCCAAAGAGCTTTAATAACTGTCATGGCTGCATGCTTCAGTTGGCCTTAGGAGATGGAGAAGAAACATCAAAAATGGATCGTTTCTCTCCACATCTCACAGACCAATCTGAGCTGCCATGCCAAGATACGATTATTGTTTTTCAATATCAACCAAATTTTGCCCAAACGCCTAAACAGTCTTTTCAGCTCAGAGGAAAATGTCTGATTCATCTTTCAGAAACAGCAATCTTCATAGCCTCTGAAAAATGGAATCGAAGGAGTAATAAATCAATCAACTACTGGTGGTTTTGCAAATAGAAAATTTTTCATTTGAGAGATCATCGGCAGCGTAGAATGACAAGAGTGTGGCAAAACCACCCATTGAAATTCCCCAAAGCTCTTTGCTCTCACCGCAGTCTCAGACTTAAAACTAATCACCATCTTTATGTTTCCCTTTTGAGCTCAGATGCGTGTTATAGCTCAAGCAAAAGAGATCCGACGACACCATGGCTGCAAAAACCACCAAATCTGGGGCATGCCCCGCCAAGGTACGGGACGGATAATCTCAAAATGCTCAATTACTAAGCTCAGAAGGGAATGAAAGATATGCAAAATCATCATCGCATCTTTCGAGGCATCAATCATTCTCACCACCTCCGGCATAACTTGTCTCTAAATCAAACAAACCCTAACAGCTTGTTATGATGGTTGTTAACCATTATATTGTATTGTTATTTCAGATAGGCCAAATACATAGGCAGCTCCTCAAACTTGCACGAATTGTCATTTAAACACTTCTGCTTTACAAAGCAAAAGAGAAGGCGACGCTGCCATGGCTGCAGACACCAGTTTGCTACAAAAGCCATACCAGGCCGCACCGCCAAGATACAGGCCGATACTTTCTTAATAACAAGATTGAACATATCCCAGAAAGGAAAGCAATCTTCACAGCCCCTTACAGCATCAGTAGCAGCAGCACAGAGTGAAGAGGAAGAGGAGTACACCGCTGTCTTTGGTTAACAGATTTTTTCTTCTTCTTTTTCTTGTTTATTTCAAAGGGCTGTTGGTATTTTTGGTTATGAATGGAGAAATCACAGGCATAACAGAGAGGGGCAACCACCCTTTACAGAAAACCCACATATCTCTGATGCCTCATTCTTCTTTCTTGATAGGATATGCTCAGTTGATACTGAACAAATATGGTGATGGATTAGGACTGCAAGATGCTTTATAACTTGTAGTAGAAAGTCGCAGGTTAGACATATTCCGACATTGAATCATGGAAAACATTCTGCTTTTTTTTTCTCTCAAGAAAATGGGTCTCAGATGTGCCTTATGATAAGACAAAAGAGAAGCCAGCCACGCCGTGGCTGCAAACAGCGGTTGCATGACAGACAGAAAAGTCTCAGTCACAAGCATACCAGGTTGCCACGCCAAGATACTGGTTGGATAATCTCTATGCCCTAGTTGGTTAGCCCATATATAGAAACATCATCATCACTGCCTCTTTATGTACCTTCCATCAACACCATAAAAAACACAGACACAGAGGAAAGACACAGATTACAATGTATATAAGTTAAATTCTTTTTGCAGTTTCTGCTATTTCTAAAAACAAAGGGTTGTTGGTTGTTTGATAAGGGACGAAAATCAATGGCGGAACAGAGAGGGGCAACCACCCTTTAAGAACATCCCAAACTCTCTGTTTTGCCTCATTTCTTTCTTTCTGAGCTAAGTATTCGTTTGGGTAAATATTTTGGTTTTTTCCAAGTTTCCCAGTTCTCTTTTTCCCTCTTTTTTCTTCGTACTAGTCTCTGGATAAGCCTTGGGTAAAAAAGCCATAACATTAGCTTGGCCTTCGTGCTTTTATAATAGTATAGATATAGATCAATAGATAGAAATCCCCTGAGGAAGGGTTAATTTCTTAAATCAAGACTTACATAGGCCTTTCGGACAAAGCAAAAGAGAAGGTGACGATGCCATGGCTGCAGACACCAGTTTGCCACATTACCGGGTCCCCCCCCCCCCCCCCCCCCAAGATACGGGTCAGATACTTTCTCAATGCTGTCATTGAACATAGCCCATGAAAGAAAAGCAAGATTTGCACAAATAGGATAATTTGAGGCCACTGTTTAACGGCTCAGATGTGTGTTATGATAAGGCAAATAAGAAGTCAGCGACGCCATGGCTGCAAACACTGGTTGCATGTGAGAGAGAAGACTCAGTCACAGGCTATACCAAGTTGCCAAGCCAAGATACGAGGTCAGATAATCACCATGCCCTAATTGATTCGCCCAGATATATAAACATCATCATCATTGCCTCTTTATGTACCCTCCATCAACACCTAAAAAACAACACACCACACACAGAGGAAAGGCGGATATGTAGTAGTACTAGGAGGAGGAGTATTCTTTATGTTTCTGTTTTTTCCATGACAAGGGCTGTTGGTGTTTTGTGAATAAAGGAAAATCAATGGCAGAACAGAGAGGAACAACTACCCATTAGAGAAAATCCCTAATTCTCTGTTATGCATCATTTCTTTGGGCTGATAACTTGTAGCAGAAAGTGCCACAGTTCACATATCCATGTTCTTTTTCCTTTTCAGCAAATGGGTCTCAGATGTGTGTTATTGATAAGGGAAAAGAGAAGCCAGCCACGCCATAGCTGCAAACACCAGTTGCATATCAGAGAAAGAAGTCTCAATCACATGCCATATCGGGTTACCCATGCAAAGATAAAGGTCAAGTTAACTCCATCCCCAAATTCGTTAAATCAGATATAGTAACATCGTCATCACTGCCTCTTTATGTACCTTCTATCCACACTGAAAAAACAATACACAGTCACACACAGACACTTGTGTCTGGAGGAAAGACAGAGATGTCAGTGTATATAAGTTAAATCCTTTTCCAATATATGTTTTTCTCATAAACAAAGGGTTGTTGGCTGTTTGATAGTTGGACGAAAATCAATGGCGGAATAGCAGGGGCAACCACCCGTTTAAACAACAACAATAACTTGTAGCAGAAAGTAGCACATGTCACATATTCCCAACATTACAACAACAGCACACCCAGTGTATATCCCCACAGTGTGAGATCTGGAGAGGGTAATGAATCCCAAAAAAGATTCTGTTTCTTTTTTCTTTTCAGCAAATGGGGCTCAGATGTGTGTTATTGATAAGGCAAAAGAGAAGCCAGCCACGCCATGGCTGCAAACACCGGTTGCATATCAGAGACAAGTCTCAATCATGTCATACCGGGTTGCCAAGCCAAGATACGGGTCGAGTCATCGCCATGCCCAAATCGGATAGCTCAGATATACAGTCAAACCTCTTTATAACAGCCTCATTTGTTCCGATATTTTTTGGGTACTATAGTGAAGTATTATTATAAAAGACATACATTATAACATAATATAAAGAGCCCGTTTGGATTAGCTGATTTGAAGTAGCTGATAAGCATTAGGTGCTGAAAACACTTTTAAGTGCTGAAACCGATTTAATAAATAAGCAGTTACATGTTTGGGTACAAGTGCTGGAATTGATAATAAGTTGTTGCAGTATTTGATAAAAAAGTGTTGATAAGCTCTTTTTTTGTTAAAATAACTTAAATAACCGTAGAATTGTTTACGGTTATAAGGGCGTAATTTCTTCTAAATTTTAGATTCCAGATCAATCAAATTTTTATGATACAAAATATACAAACTATTCTATTTGTCATTTTATTTTAAATACTATTGTGCTTAGATAAGATAATTTTTATGATTAAGCATATAATCAAAAGTTATAATAATTAATAAATTGACAAAAGTTTCTCAGTAAAAAATAAACCTAAATAGGATAAATTATTTGAAGAGAAACAAACAATGTCTTCATCACCAGAACACTTGGAAAGCAATACACCAAAAATTTGATACGTCCTCATTTATTACATACAGTTCAAAGATTAATACACAATCACATAAATATCTCTTTATGTACCTTCCATCCACACTCTAAAAACAATACACACGGTCACACACACAGAGAAAAGACAGAGATGCAATGCATATAAGTTAACTCCTTTTCCACTTTCTGCTGTTCTCATAAACAAAGGGGGCTGTTGGTTTGATAATGGAGGAAAATCAATGGTGGAACATAGAGGGACAACCACTCTTTTAAAGAAAAATCCCAATACTCTCTGTTTTGCCTCATTTCTTTCCTCTCTTGGCTAACCTTTTCCTTTTATGGGGAATTCTTTGGTTTTTCACCTCGAAATTCCCTAGCTCTATTTTCCCTCTTTTCTCTGTATATAAATTCCCCGTGGGATAGTGAGAGAGAAAAACAAAGAGAGAAGGAAGAGTTAGTTTCTTAAATCAGGAATTACACGGTCCTTTCGGTTAAAAAGTCTCGGTTACAGTCTTAAAATGAGACTTATGAGAGTCTTCGGCTAAAACTCAAAAGAGAATAATGGACTCACCGTTGAAGAACATGAAATGGGCATTAAGGGCTCAGATTTGCCGTATTTGAACTAAGCAAAAGAGAAGGCAATGCTGCCATGGCTGCAGACACCAGTTAGCTATACAAAGCCATACGGTGTCGCCTCGCCAAGACACGGGTCAGTATTTTTTCAATGCCGTGATTGAACAAAGCCCAAAACGTAAGCAATCATCACAGCCCCTTTAAAACATCGTAGCAGCACCACAAAGAGAAGAGGAAGACGAAGAAGAGTACAAGGGTGTGTTTGGATGAAGGATTTTTTTTTTCTTGTTTAAAGGATCTTTACACAAATAGCCGGCCAAATTCACCATTACTTTTCCTAGCCGGTATACATAGATTAACACTAATTAAACATGGTTATACTCATGTTACATGAATTATACATATCTTATATATCTGCCTGCTATTTTTCATTTAAGCAGTTGGGTGGGCGGCTATATAGGTTAATTCTTCTAATTTGGAAGGGCTGTTGGTCTTTTTGGTTATCAATGGAGAAATCACGGGCATAGCAAAGAGGGGCAACCACCCTTTACAAAAAATCCCATTCTCTAGGCAATGCTCAACTCTTTGCTTTCCAGGTAGAACCTCTGGGTAGGGAACTTTGAAAACTGCCATGGCTGCAAGCATCAATTAGCCTTATGAGACAGAGAACAAATACCACAAATGGAACTTTTCCCCTTATATCTCACAGATCCATCCGAGCTGCCACGCCAAGTTACAGTTTTCTTCAGCTCAATAGAAATATGTCTGATTCATCTTCTCATCTTTCGCAGACAATAAAATCTTCATAGTCTCATTGCTCATAATTGAAACAGGGTGAGTAACAGGAAAAGGAAAAGAGGAAGATCATGTGAAATTTCACAAAAAGGGTGGTTTTGCAATCAGAAAGTTCATCATTGATCATCAGCAGCCGAGAATGACAGAGAGGTGCAAAACCACCCATTAAAACTCCCCACTGCTCTCTGCTTTCATCGCAGCCTCAGACTTAAGCTAATCAGATTTTCACCATTTTTGTGTTTCCTCTTTGAGGCTCAGATCGATGTTATAGCTCAAGCAAAAATAGATTTGACGACGCATGGCTGCAAAAATCACCAGAAAATCTGGGGGCATGCCCCGCCAAGATACGTGCCAGATAATTGCAAATGCCTGATTAATAAGCTTAGAAGGGGATGATAGATTTACAAAATCAACATGGCCTCTTTGAAGCTGTTGATCACGCTCATCATGCCGGCATAAATTGTCTTTACACCAAGAAAATTCATCAACTATGAATTCACAGAGAAAGCAGCCAACCTTAGAGACTCATTCTTTTAGCACAATTAAGGCAACGGGGAGGCTCAAAATTCCCCCTTTTTTTTTTGATAAGGTGAAGATTTTATTAAAAACAGTATCAAGCTGATACTGTAAAAATACAAGGATCAAAATTCCCCTTTTTCATACAAAACCAAAAGAGCTTTAAAACCTGCAATGGCTGCAAGCAACAGTTAGCCTTATGAGACAGAAGAAAAAACAAAAATGGAACTTTTCCTTTCAAATCCCACAGATCCATCTGAGCTTCCATGCCAAGATACAGTTATTCAACTCAAGAGAAAAATGTCTGATTCATCTTTCACAGAAGAGTAAAATCTTCGTAGCCTCATTGCATCACCTAAATTGGAACGGAAAGAGTAACAAGAACGGGAAACTAGCAAGGTCATTACGTTTTTTCACCAAACGGGTGGTTTTTATAATTGGAAAGATTTATCATTTCAGTGACAGAGAGGGGCAAAACCACCCATTGAAACTCCCTACAGCTCTCTGCTTTCACCGCCACCTCACACTTAAACTAATGAGATTTTTGCTATTTTCATGTTAGATTCTAAACTCATAATTCCAAAAGTACTGTGAGTTTAGTGCTTAACATTGTATTCGTCAAAACAATACACATGATGAAACGATATGTAACAACCATCCAAACAAGCTGTGACGTACAAATCCTGAATCCGCCTCTGGCTATATCCATTTCCCAATAGGGCATAGAAAAAACTGAGGCTCAGATCTGTTTTAAAGCTAGGGCGACAGGAGATCCCAACGACGCCATGGCTGCAAAAACCATGCCCCGCCAAGATACGGGTCGGATAATCTCAAATGCCCCGATTAATTAATAAGCTCAGAAGGGAATTAAAAATTTGTTAAAATCATCATCGCCTCTTTTTAGCCGCCGATTCAACTCACCACCACCGCTTCCATCACCTCCACCAGCAGCACTGCAGCATTGGCATGCTCCGGTGAAGGCATAAAAGAAAGAAAAAACGAAAATTGATGTAACAACAATCCAAACAGGCTGTTAATAATCCCTCCGTAAGAGGGAAAAAGGGGTAATTTGCACAAATAGCACTGAAGAAAGGGTTGTTAGGGTTCTTACAGTGAAATCATGGGCTAATAATGCAGAGAGAGGCAACCACCCTTTCAATGAAAAATCCCTACACTCTCCATAGCCTCATTCTCTCCCTTCTCAGCTTTTTTGCTTCGTTTCATCTCCATAACACATGTTTGTATTTGTTTCTCCGGCAATGAGTGATGGAAAACAGAAGTTTGTGGACTAAAATTTCTTTTTGCTTTTCTTTGAGGGGGGAATTGAGGATTTTTTTAGTTTAGTTTCTGTACACGAGCTCTCTATCAAAATGGTCCCTGTAATATGAGTAAAGTTTCACTGCACCTCCCTAACTTTTTTTAAATGAAAAAGAGGAAGCCCCTAGCCTAGCCACTCGCACAAAGTCCTATGATGTCTTGGGAACAGCTGTTTCAATGGGGTTATGGGGTTTTGGTTTTTATGATCATTTTATCGTTTTTTTATATTTAAAAAGACAATAAATTACTTAAAATTTGATTTTAATCCGTTAGAAGAAAAATTTTAATTTCCTTAAGCGCAAATATTCAGATTATCAAATTTACAAGAAAGTTTACACATTTTGTTTCTCTCTTTAAATATGTGTTATAGTAGCCTTTTTGTTCATTTTCAATAATAGTCTCAAGAGCGTGTTACTTTGTATCATCCTCTATCCTTTTTGATAAATTTAGACAGACACTGTATATGTTGCTGATTATTATTATTATTATTATTATTATTATTATTATTATTATTATTATTATTATTATTATTATTATTATTCTCGTATAATCTTATTCATCGATTTCTATTACTACATGTTGTCTCCTTTACTTCGGTTATTTTATTACTTCGGTTTTTTCCTTTCCAAATTTGTTGTGAAATATTTTTCACAACAAAAAATACATAGTTTGAAAAGAAAAGTGTACAATTGCAAGAAATTACAAGTGCAATTGTACACTCTTTTTATTTCTTCTTTTGATGCAATGACTATTTATTTCAATTATGTATTTTTTATAACTTTTTAGATGCCCTGACTATTTATTTCAATTGTATAAATCTTTATTTTCAAGTCACATTCAAAAAAAGATTAAGTAAAACTTTATTATTTTTGGCCAAATAAAAATATTTAGCCTAAATAATATAGTTCTATCCAAGTTTTATTATAAATTGTGTTCGAAAAAAATTATCTAAAAAGTAATATTCTTAAAAAGGTAAAAAAAAATATTTTATTTTTCATAAAAATGTCACATAAACAAAAAAATCCAAGTGGCAAGCAAGTACACCCACACTTTTTGTCACATCAATATCTAGGGGTAATGACCCTCAAAAGGCCAAGTTAAGGGGTAATTAAGACTAAACATAGTTCGGAAAAGTTACTAATAATCTGATCCAAGTTTAGGGATGGTTTAAGGTATTTCGCCCTTTTTTTTGTGATTCATTGTCGTTTGATGGCCTTATATTTGAAGTATTAAATATTAAACTAATGAGGTTTGAGAAGCTTTCAAAAGGAGCACGAACTAGAACTAATATAGACGAAAATCTCATATTTGCATTGGTCCTATGTCAACCATTTATATACACAGAAGATTACAAGCTTCCACAACAGCAGAAAACTATCCTATAATGTTTGTGCTTTTGGTTCAATATTTACACGTTATAGCTTCCAAAAAAATCCAACTTTGTCAATTAAATAGGAACCTCACTCAACATAAATTCATCTTCATGGTTATCACTTCCTGTAACTAGTCCTGCAGTTTGCCCTCATAACATGACTAGCAGAATCCGAGTTTACAAGATCATCTCGTACAGCTAATCGAGCACAGGGAGATCAGCTGCATATCATCTACTGAGTTTGGTTTCTTAAGAATGCAGAACCGTTGGTGAAAGATCTTCCAACAGAGTTCATATCATAGTTTTCGATGGATAGATACGAAGCTGAAGTCAAAACCAATACAACATATAGTTCATTGCAAACAAGCAGATAAAGACTTTTGCTGTGGGGAAATCCCTGTGCCAACACATATGGTCTGTCAATAAAGTTCTGTATTTAAGAGCCTAGAGTACAATCAGTGGCTGATGATCACACAACAGGACTTGAAATTTTATCTGCATCTGTCTTTGCAAATGCCAACTTCCTTCTTTTAACTGCAGCTATGCCGCAGGAGTATCTGCAATTCCTAATCAACTGTTGTTGTAGAGAGTCCCAAACTATTATACTTTGACTGGCTTATCAGCCATTGGGTAAGACAGGCCTCCCTCACTTCTAAATCTGCGGTAAAGTTTGCAGGGAGGTTTGGACAAGCTCAAGGAAATAATTAGACATCATGAAGCAACGTCTTATGCCATTAAATAGCCTCATAGAGAATTAGTTGCGTGTAAGTGGTCTCAATAAATCAAGATGCAGATCTTCAGAGATCAAAATCTCACACACACTCGACCATGCACATAACACAAAAATGAGCACTTTTAACGAGAAAAAGGAACAGACACAAGCTTTTTTTATTTTAACAGGAGGAACATACACATGCTTACTTCCCAGTATACAGGCTAGAATTACAGATAATAGGCAAAAAGTAAACCTTACATACAATTCTTGCCCGCTTAGGCGCTCACAGTTCATCTTTTGGCGGTTTCCTTGACTGGAAGCCAGAATGCTTCCAGGGGAGCCCCAACAACGAACTAGATCTCCATCTAAATCCCTGCTAGAGGGTATTATTTATTGCTTCTTGGATCTTGAAAGGATTTAACTAATGGGTCTCGTAACCTGAAACAGATGATTAATTACATCTGTGCATTAACAACACGTCTTTCAATTGACAGCTCTATTCTTTCCTATCAGCAAGCACTAAAGAGGGTGCTGACATAATTGACTATCTAATCCAAATGACAAAGATGAAGTTGCACCTCTGGTGGTCACAGCTAATCTCCACCCAACAACCACAACATCAGGATGCTTCATCAATTAATCAACTCAGAGCAACAACAAAGCTTCTTGCAAATTTTCTCTTTGACCTTGCAATACAAATAAAACACATAATAGAGCGGGAGCTTTCTAAAAATTAAAAGTTTTTTCATACAAAAGAAACGAAATACTACTTATTCCCAATCCCTCCCTCCCTCCCTCCCTCTCTTCTTTGTTTTGGACTTCTAATCCAGTTGCAGCTAAAGTGTACAGTGATTTTAGCAAAGAAATCCAAAAGGAACTGCAAGCAAGAACATGGGAAAAAGGCATATAAGAATCTAGCTTCGCGAACATTTCATCCTAAAGGCAAAGAGTACGTATTACCTGCAACTTTGTCTTCAAGAATGCTGAATACCTTGGTCGACTAGGAAGGTTTAAACATCTCAAGCAAAACTGTAAAAGTCCAGTGTTAATAATGCGCAAGGATATCCCCACCTACCAATTAACCAAAAAATAGCCAATTCAAAGGCCTTTCATAAGTGATGTGCTCGTGACGAATAGACAGTTATAATTACTACACATTAGGATATCCGATGATTTAAAAAAAAAATATGCCAAAGAAGATAATTACCGACCAAGTTTTAGATGGACTTGTCAGTGAAAGCTAAAAGACAGTTGTTTTTATGTCAACCCTCCCCATCAGTAGTTTTGCTATCATCATCATTTCTAATATGGGACAATTTACAAAAATTCAGAAAGAATTATTGGACACATGAAGACATCAAGACGAGAGACCATGCCATTTTTGTAATCTTTTTCTTGAAAACTCAACTATCACAAAATAACTTTGAAACTCGAAATCAGTTTAAGACTGAAATTTAAGTTCAAATTTATTCCCAGAAAGCTTCACCAACATACAGTTACAGTGCTCAAACAAAAGTTAAACTGAGGTATGGAGGAGGCTCAGATTATCGCCTATTTAATCAAAGAGCAGAGCTAAAACATTCATAGCTGCATACATGGTTGCCTCATGAGAAGGGACAATATCCTTCACAGACCTTCCAAGTGCCAAGCCAAGAATTAGCTCAAAAATATTGTTCAGTCTTTTAAAGATAATCTTCACTGCCTCAGAGATTGTGGATTCTCAAGATTCAGAAAATGGAATCAAAATTTGAGGAGAACACATGAAACTTCTTTTCAAAAGTGGAATAAGGCTTTGGACACTTATATTACGTGTAGCATTTACTAGGAGGCCTTTTAGTATATTTCGAGATTTGTATGTCAGAACTTCTAGAGTTAGAGAGCCTCCAATTATCGAATGTTGGAATAAAATAGGTCCAAACGAAGTAGAAAAAATAGTGAGGATTCATATAACCGACTACAACTAGCTTGAAAATGAAGCATGGTTGTTGTATGAAGAGGGGGTAATAACCTAGAGAAATGTAAACATGAAAAAAGAACCAGAAAAAAAAATGTTGACAGAAGGTCCAAGGAATTGAAAGCAACACAAAAATGAGGCTCGGATTTGTTTACAAGTATCAAAAACCAAAGCTAAAAACCAAAATTCCCCCTACCTTCCCCAGCCAAGCTAAGAATCAGCACAAATATCTGAGATTTCAAGCTTTCTGGATAAGATCATCACAGCCTTGTTCACTAGGTTTAGGGTTTAGAGGGGAATGAGCAGAGAGGTTCATATAGCCGACTCAAACTATTCGGGATAAGGGCATAGTTGACTGATTTAGCATCATCGTCATCATTGTTTTCATTAACATCGTCTGATGCCAAGGCTGTTGATAAAAAAGAATCAAAGAATTGATAAGCTGTCAAACTACAAAGGAATAGAGAAACCACCCAAGAAACTCCAGCATTCTATGAATCATATGAAGCCTCATTCTTTTAAGCACAATCTAGGTAATAGGATAGGCTAAGATTTTTCTTTTCTCAAACTAAAAAAAAAAGCTTTAAGAACTGTCATGGCTGAGACAGAAAAGAAACATGAATGATTTTTTTCCACAATATTTCAGACCCATATGAGTTACCACGCCAAGATCCAGTTTTTTCAGCTCAAGAGAAAAATGTTTGATTCATCTGCACAAACAACACCAACTATGCTTCAATCCCACACAGGTTGGGGTCGACGATATGAATCCTCACTTCTTTCTTTAAACTTAACTCATAACATCATCATACCAAAATAAAATAAAAGAGAAAATCTTTATAGTCTCACTGCTCATAAATGGAACAGGAGTAACAAGAAAAGGAAAAAAGGGGTGGAGTGTAATTTCACCAAAAGTATGTATTTGCATAACAACAACAACATACCCAGTCTTATCCCACACCATGGGGTCTGGAGAGGGTAGTGTGCAATTATTTTAAACAAAAGTGTGTGCATATTAAAAATAATTTCTTTTGAGTAATTATCAACATTGGAGAATGACAGAAAGTGTCAAAACCACCCACGGAATCTCCCCAGAGCTCTTTGCTTTCACCAA